AAAACATTAGTTGTAATAATGATTAATTAAGTTTAAAAAAAATTAACTTTTTATTAATAAACAAACAAATAAAAACACAAAAAAATTAAAGTTTAAAAACTTTTTTGCTAAAAAACATAACACCAGAAAAAAACGAGAAAAAGTTTTTAAAAGTTTAAAAAAATAAATTTATTTATAAAATGATGATATTTTTCTTTATATAAAAACTTTTTTTTTTGTAAAATTTTTATAAAACACAAGTGTATTATACAGTATATATATATATAAAGTATACTTTACTTTACACTATATATAAGTATAGTTAGTGTTATAGTTGTGTTGTTGTTGAGAGGTCTGTATCTACCAGTGCTCTGGCAGTCAGTCAGTTAGTACTTACTGTTAGGGTTTGTATAGTATAGTATAGTTTACAGTAGACGTCATCTAACGTTTGCGTATTACATACCACTAGTATCTACTGTATCTAAAATAATAATAATAATATCTAACTAACTAACCCACCAAACAACTAACAGTGCATTTTTACATAACTTTAATAATATTAGTAATAATAATAATAATAATTTTAATTTAGTTTTTACAGAAAAAAATAAATAAAAAAATTTTTTTCAAAATAAATAATACTAAATGTTTTTTTTTGATGGGGAAGTATACTATAAAAAATTAAATTATAATAATAATAATTAACCATGCTAAATTTTGTTGTTGTTGTTATTATTATATTGTTAAATGTTTTTTATGTATGAATAAAATGTAATTTATAATTATTATTATTATTTGCTTAAAATATTTAATAATTTATATTATTATTAAAGTTTAGATTAAATTATTTAAAAAAAAATTAAATATAAATTCCAAATAAATAAATAATATATTTAAAAAAATGTTGATATTTTTTTATGTGATTTAATTTAAAATTCATGTAAAATATTTTTAATATTTACAACAAAATATAGTAAATAATTTTATTATTATTATTATTAAATACGATTACACGATATGATAGTATAAAATATAAAAAATATTTTTTATGAATTATTTATATATTAAAAAGTGGTATTTAAAATGTTTTTTATGTTGAAATATATATATATATAAATAAATTGAATTAAATTTTGTTTAAATTAATGTAGTTGTATTATATATATAAATTATATACAATTTAGTTTTTCAATAGATTTAAGTATATATATATATATTATATATACTGTATATATATAATCAATTAATTAAATTTGATATCAATTATTTTATTTTTTTTTGATAAAAATTAATTAATTAAAGATATTATTTTATAGATAACAAAATATTAAAATTTATCTCTAAGTTTAATAGTAATACCAATAAAAAAAATTTATGTTGAAATACAATATTTATAAATTACTAAATAAATTTAATATAAAATTTTAATGATTTTTATTAATACAGTAAACTAATTATTATTATTAATATTGAAAATTTAATAATTAATTTTTGTTTAAAACTTAATTCAATATAGATTTATAATTACATTATTTGTGTATCATATGTCAAATTAGATTTTTATTAATTAATTATATTAATTAATTTTTTTTTAATTATTTACTTTAGTCGAGACAATTAGCAAAATAATTATATATTTAAAAAAAATTATATATAAGTTTCACAATTATAAGGAAATGTTAGTAATAATAATAATATTAATGTTAATAATGTTAAGTAAACAAACAAAATAAAACTAATCATAACTATTGATTAACATATAAATACTAATATTTTTTATTTGCTATTAAATAAAATAAATGTTATTTGAAATCAAAAAAAAAATTGATTTTATTTATTAATTTAACATTAATTTAACTGTATATTAAATAATTTATATTCAATTAATATATATATATATATATATTTGATATTATTTGGATATTTTGGGTGTAGTCTATGAAATAAAATTTTTAAATTGAATATAAAAAAAATTATTATTAAACAGTTTGTTGTTGTAATTACCAAATAATTTTATAATTTATAATTTATGCAATTATTATGTATATATTTTTTGTTATTTTTGTAAAAATTTATATTACTATTGATTTGTTAATTATATACTGTATATATATATATATATTAAAAAATACAATATTATATATGCCTTATAGTTATTGGCAATAAGTAATAGTAATATAATAATAATTTTAATTATTATATTAACATTCAAATATAAATTGAAAAGTTTGATTAAAAATAATATATATATATATATATTGTTGTTTTACATTTAGTCAAAACAATTATCAATTATATATATAAATAATAGTTAAATTTTTATAATTAATGTCATTAAATGAAATTTTCTTATACTAATTAATAATTCAAATAACTTGATAAAAAAATATTACTAATATTTTATATAATTTATTATTTTTGTTATTATTAAAATTTTTTGAATAATATTTATTTTCACTGATTTTATTAATTTTAATTATATTATTTTTTTTAGAAATTATTATAATTTTTATAATAATAATAATTATAATACTAAATAATAATTGAACAATAATAATAATTATTATTATTTAGTATTATATAATAAATAATTGTAAATTTAATTTTATACAATTTGTTTAAATATATTTTTATTAAAATTAAGTATTTGAATATA